GACTGTGCTGAAGAGAAATCTGGAAAAGGCTAGAGTGAGGATACGTCTGCTTTGGGGGGATGAGAGCAAAGAGTTGGATGATGCAGACAAAATTGTCAGATAGGATTCTCTTTAGTCCACTTCCAAATTAATGGAGGACTTTCCTACCAGATTCCTGGTTATGTAGAGAGTATGATCTACAAATACAGATCTCTTATAGCCAGGCTGATTCCTTCCTATCTTATTTTTGCAGACAGGCTGAATATCTCAAACATACTCAGTTTGGTTACAGATGCCAAAATTATCAGTATGTATTTAGTTACATGTTTTTATAAATTTAAATCTAGCACCTACATCTGGCTGGTATCTAAAAGTCATCTTCATGAACAGGCTAACTGACATGTCGATCAATTGCCCATTGCTTCATCTTTGGATAAAGCAATTTGTCCAAGGCTAAATAAGTCTGAGAAAGAGGCTTAGTCAGTACACAAGTGCTTCTCAATCTTAGAACAACTTTTAAATAGGGAGAACAGACAGGATAGCTCACACTGAACACAAACACAGGTGAGTGGTATCTCTTTCCAGTATCAAGGAAGCAATTGAAAGCTAATCCTATGCCTCTGTTTTTACAAAAAATACTTGACAAATATAATGAGTAAATAAACAGCTGCCTCTGAGTTATTTACAGTGCTGTTAACTGGTATTTAGGCTTCAAAATTATCACCAGAGTCAACAAAGAGTTGAGCAAACATATCCCTGGCTGAGTATTTGTATTTAAGATTAAGTCCACATATATGACTTTGTACATATGTTCAGTCAAGCTATACAGGCTAGTTTTGAAGAGATATTAGACAGTGTGAATAATATAGCAATGTGGTAAAAAATCAAAAAGTTATTAATGCCACCAATGATAATTGCCTTCATTTGTCTTCATTTCCTTGCTTCTAAGCTAAACACTTACTTGTAACTCCTGTCAATAATTTATGTCGAGCTTTGATAAACAGCTTTTTTTTTTTTTGCCCCTTTTAAACTGTTACTGATGATACTTTGTCTAAAGCTTTGGTATCATTTGACAGAAGTAGTTCAGTGTCAAAGGCTTCCTCTTCACGCATGTTCTCCCACAGGAAAACAAGGAAATAGACAATACACATCCTTGATGGAACATCACTTGAGCTTAGAAGAGTCACATCAGGAAAAAAATAAATTGGTGAGAGCTTTTTCTATTTCAGTCTTCCCGTTTTCATACTGCAAATAAATTTAACAACACAACTACTTCAAGGGCTGGGTTTGCTCCTCTGAAATACTGTGCAATTGAGCAAGTACTCACATGGGTGGAGACTGCAACTTTTCACTAGAGTCTTGAATAAACAACAGAACCAGAAATAACCCAGCTGTAAATTCAAATAAAAGCAAACAGCTTGGCCTCTGCACTCATGCTTACCTTTTTAAACTTTTTTTTAACCTTTTTTTAAAAATCTTCAGGGAGCCATAGCAACCTGATGTCTATCAGATCTTTTCACAAAAAATCCACCATCTGGAAACTGAAATATCAGTAGAAAATTAATTCTTGGAGCATTTAGCTTTGCAAACTACTTGCATTAGAAATTTTAAAAGCACTGCATAAATAAATCAGTCTAAATGGGAGAGAATTTGTGCATCTCTTAGCATATAAAGATCTTACATAAATCACTATCTTGGTTGGAAAAAAATGCGTTCTACACATTCAGAGAACTTGGACCCACATTAGACTAGAAAATGTTTTTGTGGCTTTCCATCTGTCCTCAGAAATAGAGATGACTCAGATCAAGTAGCGGTTAGCAGGGCTGACACTCAGCTAGGATGATCTAGGTTTCCATACTCCAGTGACTTTGCAGTAAAGGCAGACATAGAATGAAAGAGAAATATCTGTATGTGCTCTCATCTCTTCTGTGGTATCCTGATATCATTTTGGGTTGAGTCTTTGTTGTTAACAACCAATGTTTACTTTGTTCTGTAAGTAGACCACCTTTTTAGATGGCCAACTTGAAAACTTCCATTATGCACTCTGACTCTGGACTTAGCATCAAAACTTTCTTCGTACTACTAATTATGGCTTTGGACTATGGTGAAAGCTGCTTAAGAGAAGATGACTCTCCCTTGCCACAGGCCATCAAGGTAGTGGGTACAGGTTCAGTCCTATTGACACTTCCTACTCTACAGCCATCTCCATCACCACTGGCACTAATACAATACACATGATGATGCTTCACCGCTGAGGGTGGGTGCTTGGTCACCTCCTGTCCAGCCTGCCCAGAGAGAAGAGCACATTGGGAAGCTCACAGTGTTGCTGCCTCTGTCAGTGTTATTTCTGGAAACAAAAAAGTTCTTATTATCTGGGGCTGCTAGTCTAGTACTTCGTCAGCACTAAACTTTCACAGGATGAAAAAAGAGATTAAAAAAATAATTCTTCCATTCCATTTAAGAGATTTTGGGTGCAAGAGTTTGTGTCCTGAATAACAAGTTACTTGACTAGGGACTATTTTTAACAATGCCATGTTCTTACATTCAAAAAAGCCCCTTAACTGCATGCACTGTAGCTGCACACCCTGTTTCACTCCGGATCTATTTTAACAGAGTTTTAAAGCTATTTCACCTGAGTGCCTGCTGGTTAGCATGCTGAGTTTTTTAAACCAATCCATTGAATTCACTTCCTATCTGCGTCTCTAGTGCCCATTCACCTATAGAAATATATAGACAAACAAGGCCACAGGTGCAGAAAATTGGGCCTTTCCTGCTGTTTATTACAATGTCGACCTCAGGGATTTATTAGGAGGAGGGGAGAAGTAAAGAAAAAGAAGATATACATACATGTTTTCAATAGGATTCTGCTAAAATACTACTTAACTTTTCTTTCCTTTTTTTTTTTTTTTTTTTTTTTTTTTTCCCTGAAGTTAAAAAACAAAACGAAAGACTCCTAACTGCCAAGAAACACAGACACTGAATTATTACGGGACAGAGTGGGAGCAGGGCTGTTTCTTTTGCATCTACGAAGGGATTTGGGATGAATTGCTTCTGCTCAGAAAGCCCACTCTTTCCTCAGCACTCCCCATCCACCTCACCCCCTTTTCCTCCCATTTTTGCCTTCTGGTTATTCAAGTGCACATGAAGTGTCTATGCCTCGTAGCCATGGGACCTGCTGGCTACTTTCACTCAAATCACCACAAGAAAAGCAGCCACCTGCGTGCCTTAAAGGCAAAGTCCCCTCTCAAAACAGGACTACCCAGTGCCAGGGACTGGCCTAGAACATAACCAAAAAGCTCATAATCTATATAAAACTTGCTCTTCCCTAAAACAAAGTGTTTGTCTTACAAGCTCACATAGGTTTAGAGTGGGAGTCTCAGGTCGATTTTAAGACACTTAGCCCTTGGAAACTGGTGTTCATTGGATCTAGCTGACCCAGATGAAAAGGCTATTAATCAAGTTAGAGGAGATGTGCTCTGTCATTTTCTGTACATGAAGCTGACCTCCAGTGCCTGGTCTGAAATTCAACTGTCTTGCCTTCCCAGGAACTTTAGAATTCGGATGCAGGAGCATTCTCCTGCAGAAGTGGCAACTCATGGCTTGAACAGGTACATTCTTTGCTGGGCAAAGAGCTGGCAGGAGGGCTGGACTCAGAAAGCAGTGGCAAATGGAGCTAAATCCATCTGGCGACAGGCCATGATTTGTGTTCCTCAGGAATTGGTACTGGGGCCTGTCCTGTTTGATATCTTTATTGGTGATGTGGATGAGGGGCTCTGAGTATGTCCAGAATAATGAGTATCCTTTCTTTCATTTTTTTTCCTGCATTCAGAGAATACATTACTTCTTGAAGCTTATTATTCTGTTTTGCCATAAATCACAAATAAATAGGAAAAATTCTGGTTGTCTAAAATGTATTTGAGTAAATAAGCTACGAAAGGAAAGTTAATAGAGCATATTTTCACTTATTACATGGGAGGTGAAGGAAAGAAATGCTTCTCAGCAACATTTAAGCTTTGTTGATAGGTGTGTATACACAGAATATAGGTAACGGAGAAATCTACTCTGCCATCAGGTATACACTGAATATGATATACAGTGTTGTGTATTATTTGTAATGCTAACATTTCAGAACTAGGAAAAGTACAAAACAGAAAATGGTTGAAACAGTCTGAAGTAGGAAGCGGGGAAATGAGTTATCAAGAAAGATTAGCCAGAATTAGGCAGCTTCGATAATAGGTGGATCTCATGAGATACATTGAAGACAACAGTGGCAGAAACAAAGGGAATGAACCATGCTGATCTCTTTGAGAAAGCCTCCAATTTGAAGAGTCTGTTATCTAGGATAGTAAGGGTGACTCAGAAATGGTAAGCGTTTCTGACACATTTATTTGGTGCTGTTGAAAGACTGAACAAATAACTGAAGTCAAGAGTGACAAGTCAGGGGTTTAAAAGGAGATAGATTGCTTTCTTTTTTTTAAAAGGTGTTTTTTTTTTTTCTTGTGATTACAACATCAGCTACATATTTGACATTAAAATGATAAGTGCTTTTATTTATTGGAGTTACAAGAGCAGGCCTCGGTGAACCATGATATTTTTACAGAACTGTTTTCATAAAAAAAATTGCAAGAACTTGCGTTAACTTTTCACAGATTGACAGCCAAACAGATGGTCTAAATAGACATGTTTGTTTACAGAGCAGTGAAAGAGGAGTTGATAAGGGAAGAGGATCAATGAGTGTTTTCTAATCAGATGTTTATCTACAGGTTTGAAGTTTCCATTTCCATTCTCATAAGAACTGGCTGGAAAAAGAGGCAGTAGGAGTAAAAAAAATAAAAATAAAAAAAAAAATACAAGGATCAAGATGAGAGAATAATGAATGTGAAACAACTTAGATACTCACAAAAACCAAACCAAAATATAGTAAAACCAAGGAAAGAAATTAAAAGAAGAAAGTTAAGAGAAAAAATTGTAACACTCGAGTAGTTTGCATAGCAGAGAAACAAGTTTGCTCATTCTCTCACCTGAATAGGCAAAGTCATGTTTTCGGTGAAAGATTCTTCCCAAGCTGTAAAACTCCTCCTTTTTCCTGGGCACTGTAACTCAAATAGAAGTATTTCCAATTTAGTTCTTTGGAGAGACATAAAGATACACAGTTTGCCTTTAAAGAAAAAAATTTTAAAAACTGGGTACCATGATAAAATCAGATTGAGTGACTTTATGTCAACAAATGGCAACTTAATTTTGATTTACTGGAAGCATTACATTTCTGTTGTTACAATACAACATTCTGGGCCTGAGAACCCCTATTAGAAGTTGGAAGTTTACAATAGGGGAAAAAGATTATTTTTTATCTTCTTTTACACTTTCTCCTATTAATCAAGGCAACAGACAAGGTAGTGCGTTATGTGGAGCATGTGTTTGGCCCACAGTGGCCAGTTTCATGATGCATAGTTTTCTGAAGTACTGAATACTAGGGTGGAAGTTCCAATGTGTTTATCTGTAATAACTGTTGTGTGTGCTGTTATTTTAATAATTCATTTGCAATTACAGTAATGATTCTAATTTGGAAAATTTAACAAATCAAAAAGAAATAGATTTGGTTTTACATGAAAAAGGACTGAATTTCAGGCTGGGAGTTAACAGTATGTCCTGCTTACAGTACAGAAAGTATTTGCTTAGTTGCAATGACCTGATGTTTGTTAAAATTTGACTAAACTGATAATCCATATGAAGAAAGCTTCGGTTTTTGATTATCATCAAGGCGGAGGAAGCAGAAAAACTTAAACACATCACTTAAAAAGTGAGCATTCCCAAACCAGGGGAGTAATTATTAATACTAGAGATTGCATATGGATATTTGTGACTGCAAAAATCATTAGTCTTAAACTTCAGGATCTGCATTCTAAGATGTAATTGAGAAAAATAAACAAAAATAAAAGGAAATACCTTGCAGATTTTTGCCTATAACTGTAGAGTACCTTGAAAGGGGTCTTCTAGACCTATACCTGCAATGCCTCCAAGAGTTCCAGGTGTCCTAGTCCTAGCCCTAACTATCACCAGAGGGAAGCATTTTCCAACAAATTAAGGACAACCTGAATAGAAAACACCCATAAACCTTATCTGTCTTTTTGATAGGCCTCAGCAGGACTGAGGGCACCCAATGCCAGCTCATTGACCTCCTAGCTTCACTATACCACAGAGCTTATGCTATGGCTGAGCTTCATCACCAGCTTGTGCCCTCAGTTAAAGCTGGAGTCCAGTATAGGTAGAGCTCTGTCCTTGATAAATGATATTCATGTCAGTCTTCACAGGCAGTATGGCAGGAGTCTCTGTACTTTGAATGGGAGATTACTTCCCTCATCCATCCATCATGAGTATTGTTTAAGAAGGGTGCCTCCGCATTATGGAATTATATAAGCGAGTGTATGCTTTTTGAAATCTTCTCTCATGCCAGCTGTCCTTGACTGATAGTGCATTCACCAAGCATGTTACCTAGAGATTTCAGTTGCAGTTATTGAAGTCAAAAGTTTCTGCTGAATGAATATACTGTATGCTGCAGGCAAGATAGTAAGCATTATGCACAAGGCCCTGTGACTAATTCAGCTGCAGAAATATAGTGCTTAAAGAGGAAAGAAGTAATAAAAATACAGGGTCATGGCTCTGAATATTTTGCAATTGTTACCCATAAATTGTAATATCAGTAGCAGCCAGCAAGAATGCTCTGTTTAAGTCTCAGAAGCTGAGGTCTCTGTAGTCATGATATAGTCATCTCTTCTCACCAAATACCAGCTTTATGCAAGGCTTGCAAAAGTTGCTGTATCCACCTTTTTGTCAGATTTTGCAATGTGCTTCACAATATTTTGAATTAGGACCTCCAGTCAAGGATTTGAGAGAATTTTTGGCATCAACTTATCATCAAAATAAATGAGCCCAATTGATATTCCTAAATAGGCACATAAAACATTTATCTGTTATCACAGACCTATCACCATTGTTGGAAAAGACCTCCAAGATCATCTAGTCCAATCACTCGCCTACCACAACCATGTCCCACTAAACCATATAATTTAGAACAACATTTAAATGATTCTTGAACACCTCCAGGGATGATGACTCAACCAGCTCTGTGGGCAGCCTGTTCCAGTGCTGCACCACTCTATCAAAGAATAAATTTTTCCTAATATCCAAACTGAACCTCCCCTGATGAAACTTGAGGCCATTCCCTCTAGTCCTATCTCTACTTTTGCAGGAGAAGACGCTGACCCCCTTACCTCACCACAACCTCCTTTCAGGAAGTTATGGAGAGCAATAAGGTATCTCCTGAGTCTCCTCTTCTCCAGACTAAACAATCCCAACTCACTCAGATGTTTCTCGTAAGATTTGTGTTTCAGTCCACTCCCAAGCTTTGTTGCCCTTCTCTGGACACTCCCCAGGGCATCAGTGCCCTCTATGTGGTAAGGGGCCCAAAACTGAACACAGTACTCGAGCTGCAGCCTCACCAGAGCAGGCAGGGAGAAGATCACCTCCCTACTCCTGCTGGCAACACTATCTCTGATACAAGCCAGGATGCCAGTGCCTTTCTTGGCCACCTGGGCACACTGCTGACCAAGCACTGACTGTCCAGGCATACAATGACCAACATCCCCAGGGCCATTTCTTCCACAGTCTTCCAACCATTCTGCCCCAAGCCTTTCATGTTGCCTAGGGTCATTGTGGCCAATGTTCAGGACCCAGAACTTGATATTGTTGAACTTCATCCCATCAGCCTCAGCCCAGCAATCCAGTCTGACCAGGTCCTTATGAAGGGCCTACCTACCTCCAAGCAGTTCAACACTTCCTCCCAACTCAAAATCATCTGCAAGCTTACAGAGGATGCACTCAAGCCCCTCATCCACATTATCAATAAAGATATTAAACAGGACAGGTCTCAATACCAATCCCTGAGGAACAGAACTCATGACTGATCACCAGCTGAATTTAGCTCCATTCACCACTGCTCTCTGGACCCAGCCCTCCTGCCAGTTCTTTACCCAGCAAAGAACGTACCTGTCCAAGCCACGGGCTGCCAGCTTCTGCAGGAGAATACTGAGGGAGATAGTATCAAAGGCTTTGCTGAAATCTATGGAGACTACATCAATATCCTTTCCCTCATCCACCAGGCGGATCACCCAGTCATAGATCAAGTTGGTTCAGCAGGACCTGCCTTTCATGAACTCACACTGGCTGGGCCTAATCCCTCATTGGTCCTGCACATGCCATGTGATCTCAAGACAATTTGTTCTGTGGATGCTCCTATTCTCACTCAGCTAGGAAATGAAAATTGTGCCATGTGATTCAACTAATGAAAACAAAACATAACCTATTTGGCATCAACTCACATGTCAAACAGTTTTGAAAGAGAATTGTAATTTAAATCAATACAAATACATCACTGTTTACGCAGAGATACTGCACAAACACAGAAAGATCAGAGAAATTCGTTGTTGTGCTATAAAAGATCTAAAGCCTTTCCCTCATCCACCAGGTGGATCAGCCATCCACAGATCAGGTTGGTTTAAGCAGGATCTGCCTTTCACAAACTCACACTGCAAGATGCAATCTTCAGAGGGTTTTGGGAAAAATCCCATGATAGACCTAATGTCACACAATTGCCTCTGTACTTTTTAACTTAGTAGACATTACTTATGCAAAAGTTACACCCACACCGTTATTCAGTGCAAAAAACGTCGGTGCTGATAATTGCCTAAGTGCTGAGGGAAGGGTTGCTTAATACTACTTTCATCTCTGTTCTTGGAGCTGTCCTGAGTAGAGCTCCTTAAGTATGATGCAGCCCAGACTCCTAACCTTACTGAGTTAAATAAATTGTCCACTTGTTCCACTAAATGCTTTGTATTTTTCCCTAAGAAGAATTAAAATTACAGCAATTTTGCCTGAGAGGCTAAGAATTTTGCAGTATTTTGAAGAACAATCAAATTGCTCTTAGTTTACCTACACAGTGTTTTAATTGTCTTTACAGGTTCATTGAAAGTCAACTCAGTACACTGAGAAATGTAGTAAGTTACACTGATACCTGCAGTCAGTTCTTTCATTAAGAATGACTATAAGGGAAAACTAAGGTACAGTGAATAAATTTATCAGTAAGAGAAATTTATGATAATAAATAGAACTAAATTATAAAAAGGAATGACAAGTCAAGAACAATTAAAAACAGCACAAAAGAAAAACAAAACATCCCTCACACCCTTTTGTACGCCTTCATACAGAAAAAGATTTTTAAGGTGACATATCATCACATATTCAATACAATAAATAAGAACAATAAATGTGCAGACTTTCTGCAAAGTAGCTGCAGACATCTCTAATTATCAAAACCTGATATGTGCCCAATTACATCCCTGGAAGTTTCTCAAGTAGTAGTTTAAGAAACAATCCCTGCATTTGCCTCACTTTTCAATTCAAGAATAGCTGCCTAGGTGTAAAGATGTTCTGGGCAGAGGAAAAAATAAGTAAATATAAGAAAATAATTTGTACAGAGAACAAAATAGTAATGTGCTTCTTAAGCATATAACTTGTAAAAGCATGAAAGAAATTTTCTCAGTTCATACTCAAATTTCTGTACATTTAATTTCTATTCTAGTGCAAAAGATAAAGATCTTAACCATACATCTACTCAAATATCTGTTTTAAGAAATAGAAAATATAAGCAACTCATATTTACCAATAGCATCTCTGAGACAAAGTTGATAATATCTTTTTAGAAACATTACAGGCTGCTTCCTCTACTAGTTCCTCTTACCATATTGCCCCTACAACCAGAAAGTAAATATACTTTGAAAAGTTTTCTGGAGCACAAGAGCATGAGCAAGTTTACTCCTTAGTTAAAAAGTACTGCAAAACTTCAGTCAGTACTGAGGTGCCTTGTGTTATTTAGTGTAGCTCTTGGCCTATTCTTTTCACTATAAGCATTTATTTGCTTGCATCCTTATTTGCACTAGTTCTGTTGAATTAGAAACAGTTTCCCTGAAACTAGTGCTATAAAGCAGCGTGCCTATATCTGGCAACAAATACACTAGAGACCCTACTATTTGAAAGT